TATCAAAGAATCATCTTGCCTTCGCTCAAACACCATTCATCTCGCTTCCCCTTACACTGCTTCTTGACGCGTTCGCTCAGATTCTCATGAACCAGAACGGCTTTTTAGCTTTGACTGAATTCTTATAGGGCTGGCTATTGATAATCGAATGATTCAAGTCAGAGTGACAATGCCTGATATGGTCGGTGGATTTGCAGAACTGTTCGAAATATTCGCTAAGAATGGATCGTCTGTGAAGGAGTTTCTAACGGTAAGGTAATCATCAAGACAATGCCGTACTTCAGAAGGGTGAATAGGTGCCATCGCCTGGGCATCTCTGAGTTCCACATGAAAATCGAAACTTGACTAAGGTTCTCATCATACTTTGCGCGGTCGCGTATAGTGTAGTCAGTGTGGTCAGTGCATCGGTGTCAACAAATGCAGGCGTATGTGCGTAGATGGCGCAAACTTGGTGCTTCAAATCGATCAATTTCCATTTCAATACATTTTGTACAGCTTTGGTGTTCTATATGCCGCGTTGCTTTTGGTGGTGCTTTTCTGATATAAGCTTTTTTTATAAATGGCTATTTTTGCGCATTGATGAACTCACCTGCCATTTTTTGTCATGGGCTATTTCGAACTTAACTGCCAGGCAAATCGATGGTGATTGATTGAAAGCACCGGTTGTGCGTCATCTCCGTGTTACGCGCCCCTTTTGCAGAATTCCCGCCACCGCACGACCGCATATCCGCTCATGCGCAAAGTATGAAAGAGACTTTAGCAGGACAGACTATGGGCTTTGAGGGCAGTGAATCTGGCTGGAAGACGGTGCAGATTCGATAACGTCATTAGGTTTTATGCATGCCGTTTTACAGACCACGTAATATTGTGGCAGCTATGTATGCAGTGCCCGTTACATTCGCTTTTTTCGCGCATGTCCAACTTCTTCCCCACCTTTTTTTGATGGCCATCCTTTCCACATGTGATTGCGAGGTGGAATTCGCTGCGTACACCAACTCTTGTTTTCGCTTTAGCATTTTCTTTTCACGATCATGGACTGTTTCTGGAGTCTATCTTCGAAAAAAGTCAGTAACTAATTGTACTACTAGTGGGACCGTGAAATAAAGGATGACAACTTAGCATCTAGAAACGCTTCACTAACCATTAGGCGCTAGGCGCCTAAGATTTCTATCCGCTGACGCCCGGTCGATCCATCCCCGCCCATTGTTTGATATATCTTCTCTGTGTCGAATGATTGACCAGTTGTATGGTCTCCCTCAAAGTTCTTTCCCCTCTCCGCGACTAGCATCATATCTTATTTCGTTGTTTGCCTGTTGAAATTACTGCAGCGTAGAGCAAGGATGTTCGTATTTTCTGTACTTTTAACGACTCTTCCTGTTTGTCCACTTCTACCCCACTTCGCATCCCTACTTCCGAGTTAGATTGTCACATTAAATCAATTAACCCTGGTGTAGCCTTCAAGCGCAATTCTGACCCACACCCGACTCAAAGTGGTGAGGAGAGTCAACTGTCCTACTGAGAGCCTGATCTACTCGGAATATGCCGGAGGCGCACATTTTGCTTTGCTCTTGTCTCATCCCAATCATTCCTGTTGATCACTATCTCCACTTAATACGTGTATGCGATGGGCGGAAGTGGTGTAGTGGCAAGTGGCACGCTTACCACGCGAGCGGTCCGGGGATCAAATCCTGGGTCGTGAGTCGCCCGGGCCAACCAAGCCTTCCATCCCTCCGGGGTCGGTTAATTGGTACCAGACTTGTCTGGGAGGATAAAACACTGACTTGTACATCGGCTGGCCCCCGCAATTGTATAGGCCACATCGCATTCAAACGCCACTACGAATGTACAAATGGAAGTAGAATGCGTGCCGCATCCCAAAAGGGATTGATCAACGGCAAATGCTTTATCCTTACCCTTTATGCGATCTCACAAACAAAGCATCCCATTAATGGGGCTTTCCTGAAAAATTGCAGCGTACCCTGACCAACTTTCAAGCTGCTTTTATTCTGTTGATAATTTCAGGACGGTGTGTTCCATCGTTTTGACGTGCTTACACTCGAGTGCAAGATTCGTCGCTGAAGTTTGTGGAGTTGAACACGCTATGCAACTAAACGAAGCAATTCTTGCTAGGTCAGTGATGAGTATTTCTTCGCAATTCATCTCCTAGTCGGTGCAAGTTGAAAAACTTTTAGGTATGGATCAAACTGCCAGTTTTCACTGAGCCACAGAACCCAAAGAATCAACGCATAATTGTTCGGCTATGCGTCTGTGCTATCATCAAGATGATATCGTAAATATATGCAAATATTTTTTGAAATTGTTAGCTTCAATGAATAGTTATAGTATAAGGCCGTGTATTCATGTATGAGCAAATGTAACACAGCGGATAGAAGCGCTATGCCGCAACTATGCGATCCTTATCTGGCAACACCTCGAAAAGCTATGCTGCCATCAATTCCTCCGGGATCGAGTGAGTGGCAAAAGCCTTCTTCGAGTAAATAGTGAGTTGCGACATGTGCTTGGTCGCAAAAATCATCTCCAAATATGTACACGTCTGCGATCCGATTAAGAGTCGAGTGCATGGCACATGCCGAATGGATTGAGGAAGTATAAGCTTCCTGAGGAGTAATTTTAAAATCCCTTAATGAAGTGGATTATTGCTTGGCACCGTTATGTACGCGTCCGGTTTTTTCGGAGCATTGCTGAGGGCGCTTCGTGAGAATAACGACGCAACGTTTCGTATTTATTTCTCGATGAAAGGAAAAGAGGGGAAGCCTCAATGGACCTTCATTTAGGAAAGTGGGTTGAATTCTCGGCGTTGGTTTAAGTTCCAGAGCACCAGTGGGAGCTCACGAATCCACCTGAAGCGGATCGGTTTGTTCCTGTGTTCGTATCTATTCTTTTTGTTCACTATCTCGTCTTTCAACAATATTTAACGAAAGTGATTCGTAGTGAACGCCGAATCGCATTCAACTGCCACTTACGACTTCCTTAGCGGAAACGCGATGTCGACATCCAAGGGATAATCAAAAGATCCCCTTAGCTTTTCTTTGCCTTTCCCAGAAAAATCCTGAAAAACTGAATATCAGTAATGAATATATGAGTGTAAAAGTAAACAAGTGTGTAAAGTAGTAAAGGCGAAACCGAGGGTCTTTGAAAACAACTATATTTGAAGAATTCTTTCCTTCCTCTAGCCTGGGAGAGGGATAGGGTCAGTGTCACCCCGTACGTTTACACTATTCGAACGAGGGGGTCGCATTTTGGGGGTTGAGCGACGTGAATGATCCTTGAAGAAGCGCGGAGGTGGATAAAAGGGGTTGATATTTAGAAGCGTCGTTTGACGGATTGGCGCTTTACCCCCCACCCCGCTTGACGGCCGTTTTGGGAAAAGTAGGCAGAGTGTACTGTGTCAAAAAGTCAAGTCAACTGGTCGACTAGTCTGAGAATCAAATACTATAGAAAAAAAACTACGATGGCGAGTTTGGTAGTCGGGGTAGGAAGGAAGGGGATCGTATTGGAGGAGCCTCCTAAGTCTCATGGTGGTGGTATAGAGTTGCATCGAGACCCCATTGAAAGGGTCTAAAGGGGGGGGGGGTGAGTTACAAACTTTTCAAGGTGCGAATGACAAAAAGACGAAAAAGTGCGAACGCGACGGTTGACCCTGCAGAGGATACGGCTCCTTGTCATGGTAGAGCGGCCGTGTAAAGCGAACCATCGAGATGCGATTAAGTTCGAGTTCTGTCCTCTCTGACGACTTTGCTCGCCACCAAAGCATCCAATTTTGTCCGTTTCGAGATTCGCAGGATCTGCTGGTTGTGGACAATCCTGTGAATCACGAAGGGACGCATATCCGTGAAACTAAATTCACTCGATTTACGATCGTCACTCATTTTTTGTAAATTCAATCATAGTTTATCATTCTGACTAATATTGTCGGCAATTTTCATTCTATCCGAATTTCTTTCTTCGTTTTCTGACATTTACTCTTTTACCGAATATTTTCTTCCGGTGGTTGCCGTTCTCATGCATATGGAGACGACAAAACGATCAACGATAAACAACCTTCTTTGATGCGCTTCCTGAACAGATTCCCTACCATTTGTTTGTTTTGGTTCTTGGAAATCGAAAAAAAAACTTTGACAGCTTCCACGTCGTAGTTATATCCACGGTGGGCGAGAATTAACTGAAACCATTCGCCCAAACCGCAACTCGACTTTACCAAATTGCTACTCATTTCCTTTTTTTTGTGTACGGC